TATGCGTGCATGCAGGTATATGTGTATCTCTGTCTATCTGCCGGTCTGTCTGCCTGTATGTCTGTCTGTCTGCATGCATGCATGTATGTCTGCATGTATGACTGTAGATCTGTATGTGTGCATGTATGCATGCATGCATGCATGCATGTATGTATGTATGTATGGATGTATGTATGTACGTACGTATGTATGTATGCATGTATGCATGTATGCATGTATGCATGTATGCATGCATGCATGCATGCATGCATGCATGTATGTATGTATGTATGTTTGTATGTATGTATGTATATATGTATGTGTGTATGCTTGTACGCATGTTTGTATACTATTATATACTAACATATATATATATATATATGCATATGTATATATATATATATATATATATATGTGCATGCATGCCTGTATATATATGTATGGATAGGTATACATGCCTGTATATATACATGTGTGTACGCATGTATGTATGCCTGTATGTCTGTCTGTCTGTCTGTCTTTCTTTCTGTATGCATGTATGTATGTATATATGTATGTATTATGTAGGTAGGTAGGTAGGTAGGTAGGTAGGTAGGTAGGTATGCATGGATGCATGCATGCATGCATGCATGCATGTATGTATGTATGTATGTATGTATGTATGTATCTGTACACAGAGAGAATGGGAAAGAGAGAGAGAGAGAGAGAGAGATCGGAGTTTGCCTCGGGCAGGTCCGGGACCAGGACCCTGGGTACACATGGGTGGGCAGAGGCTCCAGGGGCCCGCTCGGGGGGCCCCAAGTGGCCCCGTGGTCGCACGGAGGACCCACAAGTTGGTACGACAGTCTACCAGACTGGGTCTAGCACACCGCGAGAGCACCGAAGATGCTTTCCGAACGGCCTCCGAAGGCTTCCAGGCTTCGCCATGAAGGCCCCGTGCAAGTTTCGGTGGGCGCTCCAGGCCCCAGACGAGTATCCCGAGAGGCACAATTCGTGGATTTTTGCTTGGAATTTCCAATGTTGTCGGTGCCCTCTCTTTGTCGACAATCTGGCACTCCACGACGGCCCGCGAGGCCTCCGACACCGCCTCAGGGCGGGCCCAACGGTTCCCAGGAAGGCCCCGGGACGGCCTAGCAGGGCTCCATGACGCCCCCAGGGGCACCCAAGACGGCCCACCAGGCCCTCAAGACAACCCCAAGATGGTCTCCAGAGGGGGTCATGAAGCGACATGTCTAGCCTTTCCCCTCAGGAAGAAGCTCCCCGGATGCCCCCAGCAGGCGCCAGCACGGCCCTGGGTAGGCTCCACAGGGCAGCCGAGGCCCCACCGCAGTGCCCCGCGAAGCAAGCATCATTGCTTTCGCTCGGGTTTTTCAATCTTTCCGGTGCCCTCTCGTTCTCCACATCCTGGCACTCCACGACGGCCCACAAGGCCCCCGACACCGCCTCAGGACGGGACCGGCGGCCCCCGAGAAGGCCCCCCGGGACTGCCCAGCAGGGCTCCATGACGCCCCCAGGGGCGCCCAAGACGGCCCACGACGCTCTCAAGACGGCTCCGAAATGACATCCCGAGAAACGGCATGAACCGAAATTTTGAGTTCTCCGCCTCGTGAAGCCCCCTGAGGCCTCAAGAAGGCGCCAGGACGGCCCCAGGCAGCCTCTAGAGGGCGCCCGTGGCCCCAGACGGGTGACCCGAGAAGCAAAATCATTGATTTCGCAAAAAAGGTTTTTCATTGTTTTTGGGCCTCTCCACTTTTCAAGTTTCCGACAATCGACGACGGCCCAGGAGGCCTCCAACGCCGCTTCAGGACGAGCCCAGAGGCGCCCAGGAGGACCCTGAACGGCCTAATGGAGCTCCTTCACGGACAGAGAGAGAGAGAGAGAGAGAACAACAAAACGAGAGAGAGAGAGAGAGAGAGAAAAGGAGAGAGAGAGAGAGAGAGAGAGAGAGAGAGAAAGAGAGAGAGAGAGAGAGAGAAAGAGAGAGAAAGAGAGAGAGAAATATAGAAAGAGAGAGAAGTAGAGAGAGAGAGAGAGAGAGAGAGAACGAGCGAGGGAGAGGGAGAGAGATAAGGAGAGAGAGAGAGAGAGATACAGAGAACGAGGGGCAGAGTGAGAGAAGAAGGAATGGAGAGGATGACAAAAAGAAAGAGAGAGAGAGAGAACTAATGATCGACAGGGAAAGAGAGAGCGAGAGAGAGAGAGAGAGAGGGAGAAAGAGTGATCGACAGGGACAGAGAGCGAGAGAGAGAGAGAGAGAGAGAGATGGAGCGTGTGTAATCAGGGCGTCGCGGACCACTCCAGGGCAATTTTGTTGGCGGGCTCTTGGGGCCCTCTCAGTGGCGCCTTGGAGCATTGCAGGGGCCCTCTTAGGCCGCCTTAATGTCCGCTGGAAACCATCTTGGGCCCCCGCAGAAGCCTGCCTGGTCCCTCACGGGGCGTCCCAGCTTGCCACTTGGTTCTGCGCATGTTCACTCAGCCTTTGGGTTTCCCGGTGCGGGCTTTGTGCGAACTATCCCCTCTC